TTTGTACAGACACGCTATGAATCAGTGATGGATTTGCCTGGCGGCACCGTGCCACCTTGCCTGCAACTGATAACTGGTGGCATTTGTCACCGCCGCCAGATAGAATGCAAATCGTGTTTGAGTGCATGTCTGCACTGTGAGATGTCGGATGCTGATGTTTGGTCAGCGTTCAGGCTCCAGGGTCCGACCTCAGACTTTGTGTCATGCCGATAGTGTTGTTTCTTCCAGTATCTGGTACGGAGGCATTCCTTCGTCATCGCAGGAACACCAGCATGCAAGTAGCGATGCTATGGCGAGATCCGTTCACATTCCTTTGAAGAATGATTCCAATCGTGAGCCCCGTATACATCAACCCCACAAGTCCTCTTGCATTTCGTCTCTTGGGCCTGGAGTTCCCGCCCAAGGTTGGAGCCAGCGGCTGCTCTTCCATCTAGTGCAGCAAGGGTGGCGGCGTCCACCCAGGAGCACTTGTTGTACTTCAGTCTTGGTTTGGTTTCTCAAAACTTAAAACGGTGGGTAATCAGAAGGTTTCGGGGGTTGTTCGGCTCCCATCCTCGCCCCAAGAGCCCTCGGCCCCTCGCAGACCTCCAGTGGAGCTGCGCTCCCTCGCAGCACGCTTCTAAGGACCTACGACTCCGTGACGCTCCCAGCCCCGGTAGTATGTGGCACCCATAGCTTTGTTCCCGCCCATGCATCTACTTTGCAAGCGGCAGCTGCATTCATGGTGATGCGTGCCCCTTCTGCCACCTTCCTCACGAGAAGCGACCTCCTCACTTGGACAAGCGGAACAGGAAGATTCTCAAAGCGATCTCGGGCGCTGAGCTTTATCGAGTCATTCTGCCGGAAGTTGCGCGGAAAGTTGCAGACCTCTCGGACAGGCTCCCTCAGCTCTGGGCGACCCTGTCCCCTCACCTATTTCGAGTCCCAGATGCCGGCCTGCCGGCATCTCGGGTCGATAACCGATTCCAGGCCGTGTTTCGGAACATGACCATCAGGCAGCTGCTGAACATCTTGTTGCAAAAGCTGCACGACGAAGGTCAGAGGACACCTGAAAACGACAAACTCCAGGAGATAACGATGCTTATGGAGTGTCTGAGCTGGTCTACGATGTAAGTCTTTGTAGCTTGGTAGGCTTTTTTGGGCTGACATGTCGATTATTATAGTGTCTATCGATATAGCCTGAAACTTAGCTGATGTCCGAAAGGCTGGAGCGTGCCGCGTCACAATATGGCATCACATCTCTTTGAGCCGCTGGGTGGTCTGCTCTGACAGAAAAAGAGGGCAGGCAGAGTCCCTTCGCATTCTTGCTCAGAGGTAAACTTAATAAGTTGTTTGTTCTCATACATGACTGAGATGTCACCGATACAGCCTGCATAAAGCATGCATGACAAGAGCACGCTTTATCGTTTCTACTTCTCTGACCATGTTGAAGGGACTCGACGCTGCACACGATTTTTTCTTGGCAGAAGCATTACATTATTTTATGCGGGCAGAGATAAGGACTGCTCCAAGGAAAGGCTTCACTGCTTTGTTTCGATTGTTTGCGCGAATGAGGATGGTGCATCTCGCCCTGTTTGCATTTGCGGTCGCGCCGAACTGACGTGCGGAAGTGGCCATGCACATGTCCAGAAATCCTGAGCGGAAGTTGCCATGCACATGTCCTGAACTCCTGAGCCCTGCTTCACCTGCATGCATTGGTAGACGAGCCTTTAACTGACTAGGTCTACTGTAGTGTTTCATGTCTTCTGGCACAGGTCCCTGCATGTGATTCATTGGAGAGTATCTCGGAGCTGGACATTAAGTGTGTGTAGGAAGTCCCGGCGAGGGCTTTACACGCGAAACTCGCCGTCCGCATGCGGTTAGACAGGCAAGCTTACACATGCAGGAAAACGTGAGCCCTCATTGTGCGTTCTCTTCACCTTAGCTGCGCCGACAGACCGAACAAAGTTTGAGGAGAAGCCGATATGGTTCGAGTGCTTCTTGTTAACTGTTGCTAACTACGGTGGCCTCAGAACTCCAACTGCGCATATTTCATCTTGCGCAAGGATCGTGACTCCTGCAGCTGCCTGTCTTGTCTGACTTCAGAGGTGCTCTTAGTTCCGTTTTCAATCCCGCGCCAGGGATTTGGCGCATGCTTGTTAGCATTGTCTGCATGAGGGCCCCGGCGCACGACATCAAGTGGTAGCTGTTTGGACCACTCCAGGCAGTAGCTTACGTGTTGCAAAATCCCAAATACCTTGACTATGGGCATCTCTGTTCATCTCTGAGCAACTGAACCCAAGCCCTCAACCAGTACCTCGCCATTTGCACGCTTCCGCTTGTGTTGTGTCAACAGCCTGTCGGTTGTCCCTGACTGTTGCAGACCGCGATCCTCAGCTAGACCTGGTATAGCAAAGGGAGTGATGCCGAGCTGCGATGAGGAGACACATTTGTCCCGCGGGCAACCTGTCACTTGTGTCGCTGTGTACAGACCACCAGAGAGGAAGTGCATGCATGTGAGGATTCTGCTGAAGCTAAGTTGCTTCTGTTCCGAAACGATGGTCAAACACGACTGCCGCACTCTGGCCGCTACAGCAGCGGTCGATTAATCCAGGTGGTTTCTGTCAGGCTCCAAGCTCGTGGACCCAACAGACCCATCTCTGTCACGGAAACCAGGAAGCACTACAGTTAGAATTTCAATTTCCTGCTTTCCGTTGCTATCCATCAACCCGCGGCTTGGTATCGCTGCCCTACCCACCTGCTCTCGCAGACGGATGCACGCAGGGAAGGCTATGAAAGCTCGGTCTTCGAGGACTCAACAGGCGGATTTCGGACCGCCAGCAACTCGCGGTGCGAAGTTTCTGCTCTTTCAAGTCAAGACTGCGCCATTTTTGCACGAATCTGGCACGATGAGCGGCTCCTTGTTAACATTTCGAAGTCTCGTTTGGGTCCTCGGAGGTCTGCAGGGTGCTGATTCGCTTTTCATTGTCCGTTATATTTCCCAGCACGGCATGTCCTTAAACAATGCAGCTGGCCCTTGACAACACCGCTGCCGTGTGGCATTGGTTGAAGTGCATCCCAAGTCTTTTTCTTGCATCCATTCCCATAATTAGTCATAATCGACGCACAAACCTCAAGCCCGTCAATATCTGCCGGTTCGTGGCAGGTTCAAGGGTTCAAAGGGGGCAGCAGCTGATTCCGGTGCCTACTCAGCAGCTGTTGTTGGACGGTGTGTTTAGATGCGGTGGGCGCGGAAGGAAGATAAGACAATTCATCAGACCCGTGTTGGAATATGAATGCCACTCAGTCATATTCAGTCTGGTTTGGTTGTTAAAGTCGAGCAGCCGACTGGTGCTTGACGGAATTCCGAGTGCTTCGTGGTTGCCACGTAAAATCGGCGCAGAGCATGATACTTCTTGGGCAAAAGATAGGACACCGTTGTCTTTGAGCCCTCGAGATCCCTCGACCCTCCTGAGGTCCTGATAGTGAAAATAATGACATCGCAACTTGTAACCACAGAGAATGCAGCAGTGAGAAATGAGACTTCCGTCCGTCCATCGCTCTCGCGGTCACGAGGCCAAGAGGGCCCAGGGCCGGCAGACTCGGTGGACAAGCTGCGTAGCTGTCGGTCATTGAGCATGCAATTTAGCTAGAAGTCTATAAGGCATTCGGGCTCCTAGCGTATCGATATGCATTATAATCTGGGCAATGAACTCTGTTCTTTCTGTGCAGGCTACTCTTCTGAGCCATCGAACTACGTAGGAACTTTCTTGCAGCTAAATGTGCGACAGGACTAAGACCAGTGTGTTGCATTAGCAGTGTGTTTTGTTTGTTCTGCCTCGACTACTCCATGAGGGTATGCATACAGCCGAATATTGCATGAATCGTGCACTGGTATGTTCATGCATGATCCGAATCCATACCGTATGTACAATGTACATATGGTGAAACATTACGCATAGCATGCGGCTGTGACATTGCTTTGCCACTCCGTGCGAGAACATGTTACCGTATCTTTTTGCATCAGTCCAGCTGGAATGAAATTCTGTCGTGTTCCTGACAGCAGCTTGTCGCGAAACCGTTCGAAAGTTTCACCTGCTGATGGCACGTGTGAAGCTGAGATCATTTCTGCAGAACAGCTCGGCAATGCTAAAAGACAAGACATGGGCAGCTGGGGCGTGAGAAGGTCCACAGCCTGTATGTCTGCGATGTGAGATCCTCAAAATTGGGGCACGCGAGCTGCTGCGTGATGGTCCAGCAATGGGCAGTATGGAGGACTTCACGCGAGTCGCGCCAGCATTGAGCCAGGTAGTCACGGCATAGGCTGGTGCCTGCTGATTCTTCGCACCGAGTTCGAGAATGTTCAAGAAACGAACGAGGAACAGTGGGTCAGGCTATGTGCTTCAAGGCTCCTGAGGAGTTGCCCACATGGACATGTTCGACAATCGAGGGATGTCGGACACTCTGTGTGAGGAAATGGGTCGATGACGGAAGAGCAATCTAGTCTCCGCCTCTTCCATTGTTCAATGCAAGACGGTGGGTCTTGAAGGCATCCAGAAATCGATTTCCATCCACCTGCATGTGTAGTACGGATCCAGAAACCTCCCACAGCAGTTTCCAGTCTTGGCGGCGCCAAAAGTGGCCGTCTTGCTGCTGTTACTCTTTGCAGCATCGGCCAAAAAGCCATGGTCTCATCCATGTCAATTCAAGCCGAGTGTGGAGCCAGAGTGCCGGTATCCCCAACGATTGGGTTCGAGGGAGATCCCATTGCTTCGTTAACATCCCAAAGCTGAGCAAATGCCACGAAGGCTCAGAAGATGATGGACGTGTCACTGCAGGTTCAACCCCGTTGGGTTGGGTCTGACTTCAGAGCTTCTGACAGGGTCCGGCTCCCGAGCTTGGGCCTGTATGGGTTGTAGGAAGTTGGCAGAGGCCCTGCAAGTGTCTGCTAGATGCGATCTTGACTAGATTAGACTGACCCGACTCCGACTGGGCATGCGTAAGCCCTTTCAGGTCCATTGATGTACAACTACAGCTGCAGTGCAGCTGCAGTTGAGAGATGCAGAGCCCGGGCCACAGTGGAAAGGCGCCAGTGCGACACTGCCGAGTTTTTACCATGCAAAAGTTGCGAAGTTTTTTCCGCAGCTCAACCTTTCACACTCGCTTTGACACCACTTCGCCTGGCCAAGGCCATGCTGCCAAGCGCAGACCATACAGCCTCTGCTCCCACCTCGACACTCTCCAAGGCACCTGGCTCATATCCTGTCTGGACTGCAGCATGGGCAACGATACTTCGTCGCTGGACACAGCTGCGCTGCAGCAGGAGGAGGAGTATTACTAGTGGTGCTAGAGAGTTCTAGTGCTAGTGGTGGCAGTCGTCGTGGTGGTCGTGGCAGGATCCAGTTCCCGTCTGCTCCTCACCATGCTCGACCAAGGTCTGGGAGTTCATCCTTTCGGGTCGGGGAGGCCCAGGGCAGAGGCTGGGCGCATGAGGATTCAGCTAGTTCACCTATAGCCGCTGTACAGCTTCCTGCATTTGCAGGGCTTTCGTCGCTTCTAAATGTTGTGTCCTTGCACCTTAAGTTTCGGTGCTGCAGAGTAATGAATCAGATTTCTGCCGAGCTAAGCCGAGATCCAACGCTGCAGGCTGGTACATCAAGCAGACTGGCTACTTTGCTGCACGAAGAGGCGAAAGAAGAAACCCCTGACCCGACAGATACTGGGCGTTTAGAGTGGATTCTACAATACGGGACTTCATGTTCAGGAAGTGCCTGGGAACAACGACGTGTAATGAGGACAGAATTGGAACTGATGGCCGGATTTCGGATGACGGCAAAATGTAGTCCGGCAACGGAAGCGAGCAAGATGTTCTTGCTGTCTGGTTATACGGTTCGGCACATTCGACAGATAGACTCTACATGGTAGGAAAAAACTCAGGCCTGCTTTTCTGGGCAAGAGTAGCGATCGAGTAGCGTAGCGGCAGGTACAGTCAGGTACAGGCAACAAGTCAACGTCTGTACCTGGCGCAACCAGTAGCATCTTGCATCAGGGCCGTTCGTTCAAGTTTGAGAGCGAGAGTTCAAATACGCTCGCAGATGCACAGCAGCACAGTATGTCCACGTGTTTGGTGTTGGCTTGTTGTGCTGGTGGAGGAAGAGAGGCCCTTTAGCCAACAACTGACCTCAGGAGCCCCTTTATTGGCCATCTGAGAGTGGGAACAGGTTAGCTTCCTTGACGATGGGAAGTGGCTCACAAATCTCAGGCCACGTCGGTGCCTTGCAACACCCGTCCAGTGCAAAAACAGCTGGGTCATGTTAGCAATGTTGACACAGAGGGCTCAAGAAGAGGGGAGACACGTCTTTGTTCGGAGGTATTGTCGCGAGATGCGAGGTGTCTGAGAAACATCAAGCTACAGTCGCCGAGTTCGGAAGGGTAGTGTATGGTTTCGGCATGCAACTTGAACAACATGTTTGATAAGTTCATGCTCCATAGTCTGCCATAGTCGACCGTTCCAGCAATAACAGGCGCCATGGGATGTGGACTCAGTGCCGCAACAGATCATGCAGTCGCTGTGGCATCACGCCGGGTTGAGAAAGAGCAGGTGGTTGAGAAGGCAGTGCAAAAAGCCGTCAAGGCGGCAGTGGCTGAGCTGCAAGACGTGGAGATCAGCCTCCATGTGCAGACGCCTACACGGAGAATACACGGTCTCAGGGACGAGGACGGGACTCCAAATCGTGGGACTCCCGTTACTGCGCTCAGCCCTGTCAGCCCACTGAGCCTGGCGTCATCGGGAGAGGCCGGTCATTTGGCCAGACGCTTTGCAGCCGCAGGCTTGCGGCGTGGACGGGCTGCGGACCCATGCGGAGCCGTTAGCATCGCAGAAGCACAGGCGGTGCTTGTCACTGAGGCAGGATTTAGCGGTCGGAGAATGGAACCTTTTGATTAAGTAGGAGGCTTATCAGAACATCATGGCCTTTGTTATTATGGCTGCTTGCGATTCTTGACTGCTGTGCAGTATGTAGTACTCTAGCAAACATCCTCAGCGACCTGTGACATGATTAGCTGCTTGTTTGCAGTTCCAGAGCTCGATTGCTAAGACTGGCTGACAGGCTACGAACCTGGGTCTCTCCGTTGGGTTCTTGCTCATACTGTAAACCTAACTGCAGCCGAGAACTCATCAAGGGCATGAGAGACGCACTTGCCACATGGCTGAAGGTTCCGAAGCGGCTGCCACAACCCAAATGCCATTCAATGTTGTCAGTGCCCTTGCATATATTGGTTGCACCCCCGTTTCTGCCACCCAGCGGGCAGTAGTTCAGCAACCTTCATGACTTGTGATGTGCTTTAATTTATGACTCTTGATGCAGACGCATACGGGCATCACGACAGTATAGGAGCCCCGGCAGGAAGGTTGGGGCCGCGTCTTCTACTATCCCTTCGATTCTGTCGAGGCGGCCAGGGAGGTGGGCCCCGGCTACAGTTGCACACAGGAATGCAGGGGCTTAGCCCCCACGCTTCGGACAGTTTTCGGAGCTGTTGCTGTGGCGGTCTTGTCAATTATTCAATTGTGGGATCCCACCTTGGCATGATGACATGCGGTCGTGGTTTTGAGGTGGGTGAAGGATTGAACATGATTGAAAACTCAGCAAAAGCAGTAACTAAGACTGTGCGTGTCGTGCCAGTAGATTCAGTAGACAGAAGATTGATACTTTGGTGGTGGTTCATGGGGGCGTCGGGTGCACGAAACACTTTAAATTTCAAAAAATCATACGTAAGTTTCAACAATCCTCGCATCTATGAGCAGGCGGGGATTTTTGCAATTTGCGTCGCATTACCGTGTTTCGTGAATTTTGGGGTTGGAATTTTTGGAATTTTGAGGACTACAGCGTTTTGTGAGGTTCAGGTCGCGATGCATTGCAATGCTAACTTAATTGTGTGTTTCAGGGTCGCGAATGTTTGAACAATTTGGGCATTACAGTGTTTTGTGAAGTTCAGGCCGCAAAGCACTGGAGTGGTCAAAAACTCCAAAGCTTCTATACTCTCAAATCTCACGAAGCACTGCAATGCTCAATATTTTCAAAGAATTTCAAATTCCTGGCACATATAAGCAGGCGAGGGGCAACCACTCAGCCACACTGCCACTGGCAAAGGTTTTTCAGGCGTGGCAGCACACGGCACGCATCCTCTACCACTTTGATCCGACGATCGGACTTTTGCTCTTCGCTTGCACAGTGCCAGCATCCGCACAGGGTGGAGGCTTCCACTCCAGGAAACGCTTAGGAGTTTGACACGTCTTGCATGAAGGAGCTCCTGGTTTTTGGTGCACGTACCGGCTGTTTGTTTGCTTCTGCTGTCCGTTGGTATTGTGGACGTTGGAAGGTGTGTTCTTGGCTGTAGCGCCTGACTCGCCGTGGCGGCACTGAGGATCAAGGAGGCCGATGTGAATGGAGGTGCCTCCCTGGGGTGTCGAGCTTAGTTGTCTCGCGTACGCAGATGAACTGCATGTGAGCAGTCAGAAGCTCTCATTTAATTTCGTCTTGGCACGCCATGAAAATCCATGAAATAAACGCTGTTATTGGCATGAGAAAGGAAGCACAGCAACAGGAATCCCTCTCGCATCCGAGGCTTTCGATTCCTACGATCCGTAGCAAGACGGACACCTTGTTACTGGACTGAGGCTAATTCGAGCTTGAGAGGGGTACAGGAGTGTTTCAAGATGTACTGTCTGTAGGATGAACAATACTCTACCCAGTTCTTTGCCAGCCCGACTTCCAAGTTCCATGCGCCACTAGGCCCGGAAGTGGCCTAGCAGCGCGAAAAAAAGGCCTCGCTCTTCGTCGTTGGGCAACGTGGTTTTCCAAACAGATTCATTTCGAGCATGGCACAGCGTAGCCGGAGGATCGAAGTCCGAGCTCTTGCCAGAGCAGGCTAGCTCGACACTCGGAGCTGCTAATTCGGTGCTCTCCAACCGGAGACACCGGAGTTGTTGCATGCCTAGCACGTCAAACTAGACTTTCAAACTTCCCGAAGGGATGTTATACATTGTCGGAGCAAATCAAGCATGCAAAAGGCGGACTTACCTTGCTGAGCCAAACTTAGCTTTGTACTGACTGCGTCGTTTTGACGATGATTGCGGTGTGTGTTTCATGTCTCTGGGTTCTGTATGGCAGGTACTGACTACCACAATGCTCTGAAGCTAGGCGGGAATCTCAGTGTGTCCAGATGTGCTCTGGCCTTGCCGTTTTGTTTGAAAAGGCGGAATCCTGGCCGCGACGCGATTTTGACAATGGTTGATATGTTCCATAGCCTACAATAGATACCCTGTTGATTGTTGTCAGTTGTCATCATCACAGGGCATGTTGGGAGCGACCTGTAGTGCAAGATCTGACTCTTTCCGAGGCTATGACATTGAGAAACTCTGCTGGCCCGAGTGGTTGCTTGCAGAGGAGCAGGTGGTGCGGGCCTGAGTGGACAAACGACAGACAAGACCCAGCCTTTGCATGGCATAAATGTTGTTGTTTTGTTTTTTTTCCTCTGGGCATGCAGAAAGCCGCTCTCTCAAACTTTCGAATTTAGGATTCGTTTGTGCACAAGCTGCTGAGATCAAGCAGCCTTTGAGAGCAGGGACACTGCATGGAGGACCAAGTTAATTACCCACTGCTACTTCATTTTTCCTGTCCCGACTTTTTCTGCCGACAGGAAATTTTAATACAGGAACCTAGAGGAGAGCTGACAAGCTGCCGAGTGATTCCGGAAGCAAAACGCATAGAAGCGACAAGCAGATTCGATGGGGCGAGCAGAGCCTTGGAGAGAGAAGATGGGCGAAGAACATCGCAAAAAGGGCTGGATCTGAGCGAGATCGACGGGCCCGACAGCGGATACCGGGAATGGATGAGCGGCTGCCGCGGCCGGACATCCCTTTGCCTCTCAACCAAGCCGGTCGATTTTGCCGATCGAAAGACTTGTTGCCTACATGCATTGCTCCCATTGGTATTCTTTAAATTAAATCTTGTCGTTGCTTTGCCGGAAATTTGGTGGACAGTCTGCGCCTGCTTGATCTGACACGTATGAACTACCTTTGCTCCGTTCTCATTGGTGGTGTAAGCCCCGCTGTCCCACAGAAAACTGTTTCTTTCGTGCGGTGTACGAGCTCGTCCTCGGACTTGGGCCAACTCGCTTTCGAAGACTTGAGCACCATGTATGTGGGCTGGTTGATCGGATCGTGGACTTCATCGTACCTGTAGCAGAGGAGGCTTAGCCAAATGCCCTTGCAACTGCAAGCTCGAGAACCGAGGCCAACCTGTTGCCGCAGCATGTGGTGGCGCCGGGCACGACCTTGGGCCATGTCGGTCGAATTCTGAGATGGAACTCCGAGACTCGCAGCTCACGGTCCGCCTTAGCAGCCTTAGCATTTAAGCAGGCGACAGCACATCCTTTATCGGAGCTTGTGATGCTTGAGGTTTATTTGGTACTGCTTTCGCCAAGGCGCAGAATCATCCAGGTGGCCTGAACCCTGGGATCCGAACATCTCTGAAATTCATGGAAAAGGTTCTCTTGTTTGCATGACTGCTCCGAGGAATCTCTTAACATTAGAAGTTGGCCTGTAGGGCTCCGGAGCTTAGAACATTCCGTGCCGAAATTTCGGGAGAGTACAGCACTTCAGCACGTCAAGCTTCAAGAACAATGCTCTGCTCCCGTAAGTTGTGGCAGATTTGATCCTGGCAAGCCAAACGGCGCAGCACGGGTGCAGAAGATAGGGTTCTCGACGCAGTGCAGCATTTCTCTGGTCCTGCTTGCACAACTCTGTACCTCGGGAAGTGCCGAAGCACCCATCCGAAGAAAGGGTGGATACGGGTTTGCGGGTTGCGACCATGTACTGTAACTCGATTATTCCTGAAATTCCCTCTCGTTTTTGATTTGTCCGCCAAGGCTTGGGCTGCCCGAGTCGTGCCGGGTCCTCGCTGGTACGACGGAGTCCACACTTTGTTCGATGTGTGTGTGGGTTCTACAGGCTTCCGCGTGTGTGTCGAAAATAGCGGCACGAAGCAAGCACAGTGCCTCTAACAGGTGCCCCCCATCTCCCCAGACTCTGATGACTCGCAACATCTCGCAAAATTCTGCTGAGCTCCCAGCCGAGAGGATTCCATAGCAGCCTTCCTAGCTGCTGGCACGACGCAGGCTGACAAAACGGAGAGAGCAGCAGAGTGTCTTGTTTTTATAGGGCGCCAGAGATCCAGTTGTGCTGTTGGGTCGCGGGGCTGTTTCGCAGATGAAACTTTCCGCTTAGTAAACCAGTGGCAGCCTGCTTACTCGGATGCCTGAGGAACCTCACGTCCAGGGATGCCTGAGTAGGATCAACAGCGAGGTCCAAAACCTGCATCTGCAGACTTCCAGGCTCAAAACTACGATCCGGTGCAGCAAAAGCGTTCGTGCCGTTTGTGTTGAAAGAGAGCTCGTTCGGCTTCAGAAAGGCATCTTCTGCACATCATGCTTACCTCAGCGCATCGGATTAGCAAGCTTTGCATGTCCGCAGCGCACGACACACTTCACCCAGCAACGGTCAGGTTGGTGAAGCTGTCACATCACTTGGTTCCACCATGGCTCCGAACCAAGACGGAAGTCCAGAGTTTGTTGGAGAGGGGCATCGAACTTTGCAGCAGGCCCTTCGGCGAACCCTGTGAGCTCAGTTTTCGCTGCAGAATATATCCGATTTAGTCGGAGAAGAACCTTGAAGTCTGAGGCCATCAAGATGCGAAGCCTGGTTCGCGTGGAGGATGCGGCCTTCGGGGCTGGGAGCTTTCCATGGGGCGAACACAGGCCCTTGGGTTCGAAGATGCTGATACGCGGAGTCGATGGATTGACCAGGGTCGCAAAACACTGCTTGCGAGCTCAAGCCCAGCAAGGTCTACAGCCACCGTCTAGGTGGCAACCCGCTGCAATGGCTCGCCTCGGGCCGAGATTCAGAATTGAAACATCGTGCAACAAGGGCGATTCGCAGGACCCCAATGCATCATGAGTCATTAATTGTGTGTTGGTTCCTCATTCGAGGGTTTGTTGCCCAGTCTGGAAACAATTGGGGTGAACTGTCGAAGGTCTGGGGTGTATAGTTTATTCAGCGAGGCCGTCATGGCCCGATGTACCCTTTTGCTCTTCATGAGGCCGTTGAGCTTCCCCCACGGCCTCGATTCCCAATCTGATTTTCACTTCGAAAGCGCCGAAATTTCTCCGAACAGCATTTCGTTATGACGGCCGGACTGTTTTGTGTTGTATGGCCACTCACGGCGGTCTTGCAGCTTGAAGTCTTGCTAGAAGGCGATCGGCCGAACAAGGCCGAACAGCGACCGTGACGGGTGGCATAGAATGCAACGAATTGCCATGAGATGTTTTTCAAATCCAAGGATGCATACCTCGCTGCTATTCCAGCTTCACTCAGCGCAACCTTCCTTTGAAGCATCTGCACTTTGAGTGGCGGGATCGCATCAAAGGATGTCTCCGTAATGTGTACCCACAGGGTGGATGCTGGTATGGAAGGCCAGGGTGGCTTTCAGCAGATGTGCGAGGACCCTTGGCTGTAAGGTGACAACTGGAAGCCTGTGAAGGGCCTTCGCATGAGCTTGGTTGATGCGCGATGCTTTTGCTAAGAATGCCTTTTGCCGAGCTTCCTGGCGCAGACTCTGCCGGAAAGGTAAAATTTGCTGTGCTTCCAGTCAAGCTGCATTGGAACCTACATGTCGAGCACCTGGACACGAACTGAGGTTGGAGGAGCTTCCAACACTGGAGGGGTGGTCCTTCGCAGCTTGGCCATAGCTTTGGTGCTTCGAAACGGCCCCTTGTGTCAGGGTAAGCTTGCCGCATCTTAGGCAAATTCTTCACGGATAAGGCTGGCATGCCGCCTGATGTCCAGATCTTTTGCTTCAGTGTCTTGCTGGTAGTTGGCAGACCGGCCACACAAACAGCTATCTGCACTGTCGCTAGGGATTAGGGCACCAAACCAGATCAACAGACAGAAGCGGTAGACCAACTATTGAGGATCCGCCTAAGAGCTTTAGCAATAGTTGCACAGGCACGGGTCTGCGAGTCTGTGGTTGTCGGACTTGTCATCACTTCAGGCTCTGAAGCAGCTGAGTGATGAAATTGATGCTGAAGCTGATTCAGGCAGCCGTGTGCACCAGTGGCTAAACAGTTAGAAACCTGCACTCTACCTTTTCTTGCGCCGGTCGATCTCAACTCACTCCCGTCACATCTATAGCGCTGTTGAGAAGTAGTGGCCGTAAAATCGTAACTGCAGGCTTGGACTACTATCCACTCCCATCTCCGGGCCAGCCCATGCCTGAGAAAGAGTGATGTTGATTGTCCCGGAGCCGACCTCGAAAGAAAGATCCGGCTTGAGGCGTTTCGCGAAACTGTAAGTTGAGGTGAAATAAAACAACAACACCCGCCTGTAAGCTTGGCAAGAAGGCGTTTTCCCGTGTGCGACAGCGCTTTGCAGCCGCGGCTCGAGCCGCGACCCGCCTCCGATGCTCGGGACCCAGCTGGTAGGCAGAGTGTCTGAAGCGGCAAAAACACACAGTGATGTGACCGAACAGGGAGGCCGCATGTGTTCGACCTGTTCGGAGCGGTGTGTTCGTGTCGGACTTCTTGCAGGTTCTTGTGTGTTGGTGATTTTTCGGCACGCCGCCACCCCACGTCACGGCATGACAAGTTGAAGCACCGCGAACGCTTAGTTCACCAACCGATGTACATCATCACATCCGTTGCCGTAGTCGAACACTGGTACATGGAATGCGGCAGTACACCTGTTTGTCCGTTTGTGCATCCCTCCATCTACAACCCACAGGGCTCTTTACTGTATTTCTTTGCCCTGTCTGGACGTCAGATAGAATAGTGTCCCTAGATGTCCCTTCATGTCTGTATACTGTACGCCCGGTATAGAATAGAGGATGGCGAAGCAAATGTGCACTCATGCACAGGTTTTGCCAACTACAATACATGAGATCAGCATCAGAAAATTGATCTGATCATGGAAGCAAGTTTCAAAACAACGCGAGCTGTCACGACAAGAGTAAAGCCATGCTTGACCATGCGAAACCAGCCATAGAGATAATGGACCGGAAGAGAGCACTCAAAATCTCACCGTGACGACGTAACCCAAGGACTTCATGACATGCCGCAACAATGGTAACAAGACATTGCAGTGAGACACGAATTGTATCACAGTGGTGCAGGACCTGTATTCAGGCTTAAATTGTGAGCTACTGAAGTCGCAAACTATCCAGCTTAATGACTACTACAGTATGACATGCCCCGCCCTAGTACGGTATAGCACCGTGGAGATGTACTGCTGCAGCTGAGCAATGTCACGACGCAACAATGCGAACAGCCGACGAGACGGTAAGCAGAGTTCAACATGCCAAGGGCAGAGCATTCCTCGCCAGCTACTTGTGGGCTTGTGTTTCTGCATCGTCGGCCGCGGCAGTGTTTACTCTCAGGCAAAGTGAGTTTGAAAATTGAAAATACCGCGAAGGAGTCACCAAACCTACGTGGGAAAATTGATGCGGAGTTGTTTCGACCTTGTTTTCGTCGCCGGGTTCATGCACAGTAGAACATTCCAATCCAAAGTGGTCTACCTTCACGAATCCTCCGTGAAGGCTCAGTTCCTGCATGGCATCCTGGAAGGCATGGCGCGGATCGAGGCTTGGAGTTTGAGGTGATCACGGAAGAGTTGCACACTTGTTATGATGCTTACACGCAGGCGCATCTGACTTGATAGGGCGTGTCAGAAGTTTCGGGATTCTGTCCGCTGTTGATGAGAGCGAGACTTTTGCATGGATGCAGTGCAAACGCCCTCCAGCCACAGTCATCGGCACAATCAAGCTCTTGAGGCATGCTGTTGTTCGGCCGAGCTACTCTGTGAGCACTGCAAAAGTAGTTTGCAGTTTAACATGACACCCAACATAAACCAACCTTCGGCGGCACGGACATGTAATTTAATCGAAAGCTACAGCTACGCGATGACACAAGGCAGGAAGCTCAGCCCTAAGATCCCCACAGGTGTCTAGGCTTGGGTGACAACTGACTGCGCTGCTTCAAGTGTCCTCTGTCTTTTGCAATGGCAATGGGCGTTTGCAGCCAGCCGGTGGAGCACCGAAGGCAGAGTGAAGTCCAGTGAGAAGCTCCAGCTTCAGACTTCTACCTCCATGTCTTGGTTTTCGCGAGATCGTAGGCTGCTGCCCGATGTATCCATTGTGCAGGTCGACTCGCCCTCACGAGGAGCATTTCCCCATGTGGGTGATGAAGGTCGCTTGTTTTGTAATTCAGCCCGGCACCTGCGACGCCACTTCTGCAAAGGCGCACATGCCATCGTCAACTGTCGACGGTTGAGCCGGTCTCCTCTTGCAAGAGGAATCTCCAGGGCTTTGCCAATCACCGTGATGGTGTCACTCCCGAGCCCTGAAGGTGAGCCACGTCCTGCGCATGACAGGCCACTGCGGCTTTGGCTTTGACTGCCTCTTGATGGTTTCGATGGAGAACATGAGCATGCAGCGTGAACCGGGTTTTTTGAGCCGCCGGCATGCCTGCGGCAGGCTTGCCTTTCAAGTACCAGGAGCTGCTGCCGGATTGCTGATGGAGCGCCCACCTCCCCAGTGAGTTTTGCAACTCAGCTCAGATATGGCTCAAGCGCAAAGCCAGTTGGCAAAAAAAAAGCCTGGGCCAATGCCCAGCTTGTGGCTTAGTTTCTGGGTTTTTTGCGCAAACAATCCCAGCCAAGACAATGAGAAGAGTAAAATAAGAAATTGGCACGCCGAGGTCAGGGCACCCTGGATTTCTTATTTTCGATTTGCGCCCCTTGTTTATTTTTTTGTTGGTCGAATGGCTGTCCGAGCGGCTCAATTTCTTAAACCAATGATTTCTTAAGCAGTGCTGTTGCTGTACTACCAGCACCACCACCACTACCATTGCTTGGTTTGCTCAAGATAGTAGGATTGGCGGGAGTGCTGCAAGCTGCGCTTTGTGGGATCGAGGCCCATTTGGAACCCGCCACTGGGTGTGGTCTGCTCAAGGCCTGACGGCTCCGACGTTCTGGCTATAGCCTCTGGTCCCCCGGTAGCCTGAGAGAAGAAAGTAGACAGGTATACCGCCCTATGCCGAATACCCTCAAAATCGCTTTCAACATCGAATGCCGAAGGCCACTCAGCCCGAGCTCACATCCAGCGGTCAGGGCGGAGTCAGATGAAGTCGCCCGCATCCTCCTGGAGCCCCTGGGGCAAAGCGCTGCTTGGCCGGTTCAACATGAGAATTATCATGTGTTGCCTCCGGGGCTGCGTTTCTCAACGTCGGCTTGTGGATTTTGGATCCTCGGGCTTGTGCGAAAGCCGTTCGCAACCAAGATGCTGACTACTTTCTTGACGACACTTGACGTATCACCAAGCTTAATCCGTCCCTGCAAAAACTAAACGCGTCCGAGCCCTGCAATGAGAGCAACACGACACGGAAGTCAGAATATTTACTGTGGCCCATCTGTACTGCTGCGTGGAATCCTCGGTGCTTCTTCAAAGCTCCTACCACTCGCCTACATCTGCTCCACTGTTACATTCCCGTTGCAGACTTCGTAGCCCGAGGGAGTACTGGATTTGGCAGGGTACGGCTTACGAAACTACATTCCCGCGAGTCTCTGAAATGCCAGCCCCTGACAAAAAGTATTCCTGAGCTTTTGAACTTGCGGACCCAATATACTCCCTACAAGCAGCCTGTCGAACTCGGCACCATCCCAAATGAAAATGCAAGCCTCAAATGGAACTGCATGGAGCTATTGCTGCTTGAATGACTTCGCTGGCTACAGCTGCAGGAGGTTCGGGCAGACCCCGATGGAAGAAGCTGCAAACGCGGCCTGGGAGCGCCACCATAACGTCATCGAAGGACGGCTCTCCAGCAGCACGAGTGGTGCCGCAGTCTTCTGAAGCAGGGGATGTCCACGATGCAGATGATGTGCTCATGGTGTCCGTGGCCTTCTGAAGAGAATCTCGCTCTCGGATTGCGCCCCAGCATAGCTGTGGAGCATTATTCTGGTTTTCAAGGAACCGGAAGTCTCAAGCTACTGGTTCCCAGTTTGACTGCTGCAAAATCGCCCGGTCTTTTTGGGTTCTGCATGGTCAGAACAGCGTTCCAGCTGCTACCGTAACTGGGACTGCCAAGATGCACCCGAACCGTTCCACATCTCTTGATTCGTGCCCATGCAAAGCTCGGTGTTCAAAGTGACCCTGCTTAGAGTCCGGCATGGCAAAAGTTAGTGTGACAGGCTTCCTGCTTAGAGCAGGGCACCTGCTGCATGTCAAGAGCATAGGTCTCACGCTAAGCCAGCTTTGGGTATCCACGGACACCATGCATGCACGATCCACTCTGACCACATTGACATTGGCTCACTGCTTCGGCTCCATTTCTTGATGCTTTCCCTGATTTTCAGGCCGCTGGATATGGAAAGCTTGCCGAGCTCGGGGCCGGGGACGTTTGTCGTGCCAGGGGCCTGGAAGAGTCGGGCGACATGAAGGACCCAAGCCGAATCAGCACCAGGATGCCAAACCCAAGCCGATGCAGCAGGGAAGGAATCAACTTTCATGGTCAGGTCGTCACGGCCGGCGGTGGCGCGAAAAATGCAAAGTGGTGCCTGACCTGCATATGAAGCACTCTCTCCGTGGACTCTGACACAGTGCGGTAGAACCGAAACTGAAATTTGGAAGCATTGCTAGCACGACTTCAGTGTTGATCCTCCGGAGAAGTTCGCTGCACCATACACAAGGCGCCAAATCCGGCAGCGGCTCATTGGCGTGCAGGCCTATAGAGATTCAACAGTTGGCGACATAAGAATTTGGTTCAGTTTCCCAACAACAGCAGTGCGTTGAGCCCAGGAGGAGATATCGCAATGGCACTGTCAACTTGGTGCCAGCGCAGCACGCAAACTCTCACTTAAACACCTATGGCATCCTATGGCAGAAAGATGGTGTCGCAGGTGCAGAGCGCCGACTGGACCGAGGCGGCCTGCGGAAGCGCGCTGCTCGCCCTCCGAGGCTCGGCTACGGCCAGCTTTGGTGTTTGAACTTGAACGGTCGGAGGCTCCGGCTTGCTCGGCTGACTGCTCGAGGCGAAGGTGGGCTTGGCGAGCTTCTGAAGCGACGAGTTCAGATAGAGCCATGGGCTGCCGAAACCACGAAGAAAGCTGGTAGAGACAGGGATCAGCGGATGTCGAGGAATAGGAGTGGGTTGGCTAGTTTCCATCCTATTGTTTACGGATCTGCTGCTGGGCACCGTCTCCCGAGAGCCAGCGCTATTGTGAATTCCAATGCATAGGCCACGCTCTGGCGTCAAAAACTCTGGATTTTGCGAGTCTTGAGAAACAGCATGTTGGCAGCCCGTCCCACGCAGCAGGCATAGGATGTGGCTTGTTACAGTACTCTACAGTACTTAGGTTGGCAGCTCTTGAAAGCTTGCTGCCGCCCGATCGTCTGTGCGCTCGTTCTGGCTCCGCACTCCCGCCATCTCCCGCCCTTCAGCCGTAGCTGCCGCCCTCGCTGCGTCCCTGGACCCATGGCAGACGAGGAGCCAGCAGCCAAGCGGCGGAAGGTCGGGGGGACCTTGAGCGCGAGACACGACGAGACGCGACGCGATGAGTAGAGGGGAGTGTATAGTCGAAGAATCCTTTGGGAGGCCTTGGCCAGGCTCGACTCTCAGGCGCAGCGTCTGCTCTGCAGCCAGTTTTAGTTCCAAAGGGCTGCTTGCAAGATCTTGCAAAGGCTGGAACGCTTGTGTATGCGGGAGAGATGAGTGAGGGCGTTCTTGACACGGATCTCAGAATCTTGTGAACTTTTGTAGGCGAGATCGTAGACCAGGTTCGCATGCTCGCTGTGAGAATATAGTATTCTCGAGATTTCACATAAAAATGACCGCCCCGTCGAAAGAGATAGACACGGCAGCTAGAAAGACATACTTCAAGAGAGGTTTGAACATAGTCCTGGCAAAGTTTACTTGCCCTCCGTGATTGTGCTTTCAGGCATTTGTGCTGTCCAAGTCCGTGTATGCGGACACGAACGGAGTTCCCAGGCGTGCAGCACACTCTGACGAATAAATTGCACAAGCCTTCAAGCGACCCATGAAAAAGAGGAGTGGGGATCCACCACGTGTGCTACATCTTGGGCTGACCGACGGCGAGACTCGCCCAAAATGATGTTAGAAATTCAGAAGGTCGAAATACTTTGTCGATTTGCAGCTGATCTTTACTTGTTGCAAGATGTCCTGGAACAAACTTGAAGTAGTTGGAGAGCATCAGGGCTTGCAGTGCGAACTTCCAGCTGGCACATTGCCGCAAGCCATCTTCAGGAGATTGCCAACCGAGTGGTGGTTGTGGGTGGCCTGTTTGCAGCTGAACTACAGCACCAGCTGAAACATCGCATGGCGGTGCATTCGGAATGTCAACTTGGGTATGCTTTTGTTTTCGCTCATCTATGTAGCACCGTACAGCTGCAGTAGATGTAAACGCTTCGCGGGTTGACCTCCTCGGCCCGGCCGCAAATGAAGAGGGCCGACGGATTGCTGCATGGGCCCAAGGAGATTAAGAGGAAGGGGAAACAAGGGATTGGGAACCTCTGACCGCGTCGGCTTGGGCCGAGGCGAATTAGAGCAGGCATGGACGCCAAAATTCCAAAGCAGAGTTCCAGCTGTTGTAGGATTGGACTTGGTGTCTTTCAGCTCTTGTCTTGGGCCGTTGATCACCGCACTCTCGGACCTGAAGAGCGCTGTTTAGTGGGAGGATGTCGCGAGCCGCGCAATCAGCTTTCTTCAGGGCTCTACTGTTGAAAGGAGACTGAACGTGGGTCGATGTGAGCCTGGCCCTATCCGAGGTCACCACTCTCGGGCAGAGCTTCTAAGTAGCTTTCTGTCGCCGGAGGCGCGAGAAGCGGACGTTAAAACTCGGTTGCATTTCGTAGTTTAGTAGTTCTGAATTTGCATCTCGCAGCTTCGGAAGGCAGGGATGGCCCCTGTGTCAGAAACATGTAGGTGAAGCAAGGAAACTCCTTCGTCATCAAACGCGGCTTCTCGAGGCCACACACAAGATCTTCCCCAAATCTTCACAACTCTCAACCCCAGATGCAGGGCTCCGAGGTCTTCAAGCTGGCATCGGACCGGGGATTCTTGGCCTACACCGGCCTGTACAACGATCAGAGGCCTTTTTTTGCTGGCGTCGTGTGCTTTTCAAACGACCTGGACTACAATTGATTCGAGACATCTTGAGACCCTCCAGCCACTCGGGCTACAAGCATGTAGGACACAAGTGCAACATCGGAGAATGTCGAATGAATGGTTCCCTTTCAGACTTGATGTAAGGATGGCTTTTCATTGGTTGATTATGCCGTTGTCTGAGTATTGCTGACTAAATTTTCTGCGTGCTAACCTCCCCTCAGTTCAGCTTTGAAGGCTCAGCATCGTATCCATCGGCATGGGCTTGTCCATGATGGACCCTTGGGAGCTCAGGTTAACTATATGACCGGTTGCATGATGCACTGCAAGATCGCTTATGTCAACATGTCAAGAGCCGGTTGTGTGATCTTGTGCCTGTCTTTGGTGGACTTCAGGACTTCTTCGTGCGAGAAGCGCGTGCGATTGTGACGCTTGGTGTGACTGACTGCATGTCTTTCGTGAGTCGACCAAAGCCTCCCAGAAGCCTAGAGTTCTCAGAAAAACTGCAAGGAAAGGGCCCATGGCTATCGTCCGGCTTGGCACTTGCGGGTGCCTCCAGGAATGGGTGTGCCCGGGCTCAATTCATGGTGTGGTAGACGGCCTTGCCTACCGAGTGCTTTATAAGGCATCAGGCAACTTCGGGCGTCCATGCGCTTCACCAATCTGCTGCTTGTGGACCGCTTCCCTTGGTGCCTGTGTGCCGAGGAAGGTGGGATGCGTGAGCGTCGCCTCCGCAGGATCTGCGCTGGTGCAGCGGAACTACAGTGGCTCGCTGCGTTGCCAGCAGTTCCGGGTCCAATTAGACCAACCGGTGATAAAGACTTAGTGGGTGCTTTTCGCTGCGGGATGGATTGGGACCGCTTGTGAAGTCAGCTTTCATCGAGTTACGAGAGCGTAAAGCCCGATGCTCGTGATCAGGTCACTTCGACGCGCCGAAGGCCCATGCCGTGGCTCGGCGATTCTGAGGCTGTAGTAGAGAGGAAAAGCGGTTACGTGCCTGTCGTATCCTGTGGCATGTATACTGCAAATCCAGCCAGGAATCGACCTGTCGTGGCTCCCAAGTGTTTTTTGCATTGGAGCCGTGACTGTTGCAGTTTTCAGCATGGCGGCTTCGGTCACAGCATGCAGTTCGGGCTTTCTGCCATGCATGACTGTATTGACCGGATCCGCAAGACGCATGCTGTGAGATCCAGGGCTGAAACTTGCATTCTAGTTCAGGCATTGTCCATAGAGCATGTGTTTGCACGTTCGATATTGCATCTGATGTGACTCCACAGGTGGCTGGGATGCGAGCGCATGGAAAGCATGTCAACTTTGAAATTGGCAACTGCAACTGGCACTGCACTCAGCTGCGATCTAAGGGCTCTGAGCCGTACTTGATCTCAGACCTCTGTATGCCGGATGCTGATGCGAGTCTGCAAGCAGAGCCAATGTTCAGTACTTCTTATGTTTCCGATGTGCCGGGCGGATGGCTGCTGGAAGTTCAGCACAGCACTTGCCAGGCCTCTGCAGGATTGACATGGCAATCAAAGGCGAGCTGATATGGACAACACGCGACATAGATACGAGTTGCTAGTGAGACAAGGGGCACACACAAGCTGAATGCTGACTTTGCGATCCTTGTGTTTGAGTTGGGTCAGGTTCCATGCCTGCCACGACATGCGAGCTTCCTTTGAATGGTTGAAGAGAAAGTGAAACTTCAACTTCCACTCGAGGCTTGAATACTGTAGCATCCATGGTTTAGGGTTGCAAAGTGCAAGGTATGATGATGCAAGGTGGGCTCGCGAGCGCGCACACCACAAGCATTGCTCCCCTACCCTGTGCCATGCCTGTAAGTTCCGCAGCGACGAGACATCACAGTGAATGTGTAAGTGAGACCACAGTCAGGCACGCAATCCGATTCGACAAGTTCTAGTATCTCTTAATCTCAGTTTACCCCGAATCTTCTTGGAAACATACGATATGACAGCCTGCAATTTCGTCTCAAGTACAGTACACAGAGCACCCACATGCTTATCAACCACATTCCAATCAACTCGGCCAAGGAACTCACTGCGCTCGTCGCCAGCTCGCTGCAAGAAGCTTTGGGGGCGCAGAAGGCAGGAAAAGCAGGGTCGCGAGTGTGAAGAACGAACGGTAAACATCAATGGAAGGTGCCGGTTCTGTTCCAAGAACTCCACTGTAGCACTTTTTCTTCTGCCGGTTGCCGAGCAAGACTTATGTTTTGGCTAATTTCCGACTGTATGCTGATGCGGCTGCGGATGATCCTCTGTACTTTTCAGGTGGTCGAGGGCATCAACATCACAGCTGATTCGTTTTACTCATCGCAGGGTCGCGCAGACCCTGCTTTCACGGACGAGCACCTTGGCGACGACGTTGCGTCTCACTGCATGAGGGCGTGGAAGTGCAAACACGCACACACACACACACGCGCACAAACACACAACACAGACACACAGAAGCACACGCTGACACACAAACGATGACGATGGCCATGCACTCTGTGCTACGAGGCATCACGCCCACAGACAGTCAGCACATCAACATCAGACACGAAGCGCGCAGCGCGCACGCGCACCAAACACAGGCTCATACACAGGCTCAAACGCACGCGCACACACACACACACGGAGAGAAATGCGTACCACACACACACACACACCACAAACGCTTAGAGCATTCTCAGCACACGCAAATGCACAAGACTCACAAACCGTATATCCATACATATATAGCTATATACACATAGTCACATAGTGTTGTATGTATACATATTTCGTACCAGTAGGTTCAGTAGGTGTTCTGCATGTTTATTATATAGATTGTGACATAGAGGCAGAGGCAGATACATGTATAACTCTATATAGTTATATCTACTGTATCAGATACAGTAGATATACTTGTATATAGAGTTATACATGTATATATGTATGTACGTATGTACTTTAAAGTATGCATCTTTGAGTTTGCACATATCGTGCAGCCACATGTGAAGCATACATGGAGTATGCAGCATGCAACAAGCTCACGCGCATAATGTGCATGCATATATGTATATGTGTATGCGTGTATGCATGTATGCATGTATGTATGTATGTATGTATGTATGTATGTATGTTTTGCCAGCCTTTTCAAGCCTTCGACACGCAAGCGACGGCTCATGCCGGGCAGTCCCTGCTTGAATTTAGCCAGCCCAATTGATTTATTCGCCATGTCTTACTTTGTGAGATTGTACGAATTATGCTGTATGCTTTGAGGTCTAGGGTCCTGGCTAGAGACCCGTTTTTGCCCGCATTGGTGCTGTTTCCGATTGGTTTGCTGCAATTCCAGCACAGGCCAGCATTAAGATTCACACACAGTCCTTGTATGTCCCCGTTACTGTAATCCTGCAAGTACTCCCCACCGCAATTCCGGCCGGCAATCGTGAAGCATTTTGCTAAACCCCTTCGACAATTTATCATTGCATATTGCATCAAGTATCTATGTCCCGTTGTCCCTATGAGCATCTATTGGTCCAATCTCCCGGATCCTCAATCTCTTCGACCATTAAAGGTCACACCATAGGCATCCATAGGCTGAATTTTCAGTATATATAGGGAAGCGCGCCGTTTGCCTGAGCCCTATTTGTAGAGTGGGCTCGACCATGTTAACTCTAAACTCCCATAAACTCTAATGTCCACTCTATCCCAGGTTCGTGTCTTCTGTTACCTGGTTTTCTTAGAGCCTGATTACAGTGTGTATGACCTCTGCGATTCCGAACCAGGTCACGCTGCACTCGCGCATAGCGGAATCCTTGCGCTAGTCCCTACACAAAGTGTGATGAATATTAAGACTCGTGTATCTGTGATGTCGTGTGACCTCTCCTCCTCTACGACTCCGATAATATCTATCTCTGTGTAATCCGTACGAGTATTGTCCAACCTGTAGTCCGAACGACAATCTTTAATGCAATCTGCAGCTCTGATTACATATGCCACGTTGCTTCGTAACAGCAAACCTTGAATAGTATTCGTGGGCCAATTTTCGCGTGATCGTCCGGAAGACCCGCGCCATGCACGTGATAAGCGTACTTTATCAAGGATATATATATATATATATATGCCCCAACAGTTTTTCAGCAACTTGGGATGCATGGATTTACCTTGCGAATATTGCTGCAAAGCCTCTCTGGATCGGAAAGCATATATAGGCTTCGCGCACAACCGCATGTCTTTTATGGCCTTTGCAATTGCAAACTATGGAGGCTCAGGCCAGTATACGGGTCCAGCAAGCTAGAATGATACAGCATGTTTGGGTCGGTTCTGATGCGTGTATCGGTTTGACCCTTGCGAGGCGCTGAAGCACGCACGCACGCATGAGCGCACACAATCGGATCACTCGCTCGCGTTTGGTTCGGCAGCACTTAGGAACAGCGTGCTGATTGAGAAGGTGCTGCAGCGATACCCCAAGGCCATCACCATGGCTTCTCAGCTCTCAAATCGCATCAAGGTTTCATGACCCTCCCCTCAGCGCTACGTCCTGCAAAGCCCTCGACTGCCCAAGGAGATGGAGTCGTTTCAGCTTTTCCATTTGGCCCGCAGCAGCCTGCCGAAGGCCAGGTCCAATAGCCAGACCGTGCTTGCTTTGCCCTTAGGGAATGTCGAGATTTTTGTTTCAACAACTTTTGTAATTGTATAGTCTGTGTAACTAGTGTAATGTTGCACTCTGGTTTGTTAGGATGCCGCTGTCGTCTTTAATGTATTTTCCTGTGCTTGTTCAGGACATTGCAGGTTGCAGGTTTTGGCCTCCCTATAATGCGACTGTTTTTCAGCGCTCGGCCGACTTGTTGCTTGCTTGTTCCTTTGTGCTAAGGGTCACTCTTAGTGAGAGGTTTTGAAAGTGAAGCGGACATGATATGCTTGTTGCACATAGTGCGCCACGCCCAGGGCAGCATCAAGGCTGCGGCTGCGGTCGTCAACGTCGCGAACCGCCCGACAGGACCGCAAGGGCTCTGCTGCTGCTGCCGTTGCTGCATTTTGCTGCTGTAATGCTCACGGGTGCCCTTCATATATCCCGACGCAGCTGTCAACTCAACTTTGCACATGCGCATAAGAGCCGTCTACATAGCGGCTCGCATCTTCCGAAGCGGCTTTGCCTTCGAAAACTGAAGTTCCCACACAGGAGATGTCGTAGACGGCGAGGCACTGCGAAAAGGGCCTCGTGAGACACATCTTGCAGGGCTGCGTGGTCAGACCAGCACATGATTTGCAGACTAGTTGCGATGACTTTATCTTTTAATTCACATTCAGTTGCATGCCGTCAGCTCTACCTGAGGTCGCTTATACAAGCCATATGACATGAGACGTACAAGGGCTTGAAGCAGGCGCTTCGCTGCGCTGAGCGCGACGGAGGCCGAGCTCTACTCCAGGCCACAGCCGCCGAAGCCGGGAAAGGACCTTCTACTCATTCCACTCGTACTCACTCACAGTCTCGTGTCGTCTGAAGTTGCTACGCCTACAAGTTTCATTCACATCAACGGCAGAGTGTACGCTGTAAAGACAGGCCCACGGACAGACAGTTGTCGATATATGTGCTCTTTGCGCAGGCCTTGTCGAAGTTGAAGCTGTGATGTGCAGCGCTACATATCGCCATGCGAAGCTTCGATTGGAAGGTTTGCTGGTGCGCGAGTGGAAAGAAGTAGAGCTTGCCGAGGGACCTGCAACAGGCAGGAGATCATGCAGCAGTTTTTCTATGATGGGACTGTCTGAAACCCTCTTGTTGAACAATCGTGCTGAGTGTCTCTGCCATGGCTCAAATTGCTGAAGCGAGAAGCAGAGGCAGTTCGGACATGTCCCGGCGCGTTCCTCAGAGATAGATACTCGGCTGGGCTACAGTTCCGAGCCTGCGGCCATGTTGCCGGCAGTCTCCTGCAGGTCGCTGCCAATACAGGACCAGCGGACCATGACGGTGGGAGACCGGTCGTGCAGAGGCTGGCCAGAGTCAGGCACGACAATGCCACTGCGTTCCGGAAATGGCGGAGCTTTCGGCGCTGCTCTCGCCTTGTCCGTTGCTGGGTCAGTGGGTGTGCTTGGACGAACCTCCCGCATCTTCGTGCGAGCAGAGTCCAGAGGGCGACGGCGTAGTTTGGAGGGAATACCCCTTTACAGCCAGCTCAGAGACCTTTGGCGCCGGAAACTGTTCGTTTCTGCTGCGTTGGCGCTGCTCATGGGCCTGCTCTGGGTTTGGCAAGGCTTCCAAGGGTGGCAGCACCTCGGCTCTGAAAATCCTGGAGCACCATTGGTTTAACAGACTCTGTAGGCTTTATAGACTTGCGGAAAGCAGATCGAGTGAGGAACCTCAGAGCCTTCAATCTGAGCCTGCCCTGGTACAAGCGACTGCCCAGCTCAACAGCATTGGAGAGCTGGATGCTGGGCACCCACCCTGTGGCTCTTGTGGCGGGGAGGAGGATCCCTGTTACATGGAGCACTCTGCAAGGAGACTTTGGCATGGATGCGACCTTCGTCTCCAGAGGTCAGCTACACCGGCTGCTCACAGCTTGTTTCCTCCACCACAACGTCTTCCACATTCTCTTCAACCTTGGCTTCCTGCATCCTGTTATGATCCAGTAGCCGCTAGCAGCGATAGCATGCACATGAAGCTTGATTGAGCCAAGGTACACTTTGGCTCCACTAGAGGTTGGCTGCCGTGGGGCTTTCCTGACCACCTTCATACTTTCTGGAATCGCAGGGAACTGGGCTTTCCTGCACTATGGCACAGCTCGCTATGCCGTTGGGGCCTCTGGTGGTCTATGTGGTCTTATGGGCTTCGAGCTGGTGTCCCTCCTCCGTAACCGTAGAGTGCGTGAGTTCAAGGCACTCTTGCAGTCAGTGTTCGGTATGCTTGTCATGGGTGCCATTGTGCCGGGCGTTGCTAACGAAGCACACCTTGGCGGTCTGCTCGCTGGCGTTCTCGTCTCTTTAGTTGTATCCCGGCGAAGTGGATATCGCGGGGCCTTGCTGCCCTGGCCTGTGGTGCTGGGCCTCCTGTCCCTGGCGCCCTTCGGCCGACGCTTCCTGCCCTGCCTTTTTCGAGGCCTTAGCATTGGCATCCAGTATCCGGGCACCCTGGCAAGAGGCCTTTTCTTGTAGTCGCAATGCCGACCGTCGCACCAAATTGTGTGTGATACAGAACTGATAGAGAGGGGTCCCACGCAAGTGATGGAGTCTGCCAATGACTGCAACGAACAAGAGAATATGAAAGCTTGGAAAGAAGGTTGGTGTTCCTGCACGGTGCACAGAATTGAGCATAATGGTCACCAAACGACCCTTTCCCATCTGCCAGGTGATGTCATACTGCCGGACGAAGTCAAGTCTCCCAGCCCCTGCAAACGTTCTTGAGACGACGGCATTCGTACTTAGAGTATGCACTGAGGCACCGCATGTGTCCAAAGTTGACACCTGCATGCAATAGCCGCATGCACGGAGCGCAGGATAAATCGCAAGCATTCTGCACAGCTGACATAACCTACGGCTTCTACAGTCGGGCTCAGTCTTTTGTTCCACTTATGAATTGCAGAGGAAGCAGCAGTTTCCGGACTTTCCATCCTCTGGCGATTGCACGGCTGCCCAGAAAACCCCCTCTTCCTCCATGAGAACTTAGCCACACAAAAAGTATAGTCCAGAGTTCGAAACAAGCTGAGCTACAATCATTGCCGGCTGAATGTTCGGCAAAGTCAAGGAAGCCCTGTGCACTGCCAAGTCTAGAAGGCTACAAATTTCTTCACAGGGATGGTGGTTGTTTGGTGCATGTTGGTACACTCGAGGACTACTTCCGGCTGTAGCGCCGTGGTGCAAACTGTGTCCAGACACTTCCAAATGGAACCCCTTAGCCGAAGTCGGGTAAGCAACAATTCCGCCGAAGTGGTGTGTAGCTAGACTGTGTGTGTCGGTACGATAACAAGAGCTGTCTGAAGTTTTTGATCTGCTTCAAATCTGATCCCACAGTGCCGATCACATATGATTATCTGTCATTTCATCAACACGAACCCGCTGAGGAGCTGCATCCGCATTGCTGTATGCCGCTTCGACTCTTTTCTCTTCGCAAGGCTCGATTGGTTTTAGATTTGTCCAGCGGATAAGTACACCAAACCAAATGTCGAAACTCCACCTGCGCATCATGCATTCGTAGCATCACAGCTTCCCAGATAACGATGCAGCATGACCAGCTTTGCCGTAGCGACTGTCGTCGGAAGCACTCAATGTCCTATCCCATCCTCAAAGCGAAATTCTGGGAACACAACGTTTGCCGTTAGGAGCCTAGCAGTTTGGACTTCACTCTTGCAAGCATACTTTGCCAAAGTGGTGTCCGTCCTTTCGGCTGCCATGGGCAAGCCTTCCGTTAGCACCTACAGCTCCCAAGCTGGAGCCCGAAGGAAGACGTACCGAGGCTGACGGGCAATGATGAAGTTTGGCTTTGCAACAGCTTCAGCATCCGGCAGCAGGCTTCGCAGCAGGTTTGCCGCACATCCTTTGTACTCAGGTCGAGCGGTTCAGCTACCGCGAACCCGATGAAGAGGATTCGCGGCGACCTGGCAGCACGTTTTTTCCAGGAAGCCGTCCTGGCGCAAGCAATTCGTATCATATTCTTGCAGGCAGCTGGGCAAATCCTTGTAAAGACGAAGATGCACAGCTTTTCAGACACAGGATGCATTGCTTTGCCGGATCGGCATGGACTACGGGCCCCTGCTTGGTTCTAACGGTACGGGGGTGCATTACCAGCAACAGAACGCAGTGTGTCTTGATGACATCTCAGTTTTATGTTTCGCCCTCTGCCCGGACGTGAAGGTAATGCATCCCGAAGATTACTGCAGCAGACGCCCTCTGCCTGCGAACATCCGTAATAGAAGACAAACGTGAGCTTCGTGTACCTTAAACTTGAAAGGCTAAAGGACTTCGTCCTAGCTAAGTGGGAGGCAAAAAAAGCTAAAGGAGAACAGCCAAAGCCGATAATTCAGCAAGGCCAGATGCGCTGGAGGAACTCATCGAACAGAAGATTGCCGAAAAGGAAGCGAAAGCCTGCGTACCGCGCATTTCTCTGGGATGAACAGTGAATACCATCCGAGGGCGGCAGGATTTCCAGGGGATATGAGATCTGATATTTTTGTGGTAGCCGACTTCAGCATACCGGTCCCGTACTTGTGGCTATCTCGCTTGAATCTTGTGGGAAGCGAGACCGCCTTTCGGCATGGTTGCAACAGGATACCAGGCCCCCAAGATGCCCAAGATGTCTTGCACCGAGAGTTAGCTCAAGAATCCACAGATTTTTGCTCCTTGTTCAGGACAGCCTGGACAGGCGCGGCGCACCGCCGCAACTTCATCTTGTCCTTGCAGTGGCACGAACGGGCACAGCAAGTCACATGCTCTACTCCAAACCGTCGCTTTCCGAGACTGCTTGCCGATGCCACAGTCCCTTATGCGCCACCTGCAGGATCCTGCAGTTGTGTGCCGACGCTTGCCTGGCCTACCGGGACATGCGCTGGGTCTGGGTTGCCGTCCTATGCATAGCTTGTATATAAAACCCATCGAGGTTAGATTTGTTGAGGAGAACTCTCATAATGGTTACGGCTACTGCGCTTCATTTGTCTTATCCGAACGGGTCTTCGAAAGCTAGATGTGTGAATACATGTATTCTAAGTTGCTCTGTACGAGGATATTTCCGATTCTGATGCATCGAGAAATTTCGTAGGCTGCACGTATTGTCTGCATGGAGCTGCAATTCCGGGAAATGATGGACAAGGATGGTTCAATGAACATTCAAGAAGTTGAGGCCAGCTTATGTGTCACTGTGCAGGCGAGGCTGACTTGCTAAATTCCACTATGTTTCACATTCTGCTTTCCAACATGTCTGGCTCAACTTCACCGATGTTTTAGTGTAGTACTGTGTGGTAACATATGAAAATTGTAACTTCTAACGTACTAATGTCGACTCAGTCTACATGTGCAGGAGCAGGGCGAGAGATGGAAAGAAGCTCACATGCTGGGAGCCCCTGCGCGACTGCGATTTCCGTGGATGCGCCGGTAGTCGATGCTTGAGTTTCTGGCATTCTCAGCCACGGCTCGTCCCCCATAGTCTGCAAGCTGTTCATGCGGGTTCAGGCTCTGCACCATGGCAGGGGTGTGCCTGGAGTTTCAGCAGGTGGAGCAGGCACGGATAGGGTTCGAGGCTAGGACTTTGCAGCGACATGGTGCTACTGTACTTGCAGTGCGCTACGGCAGAGTGTATGCTGTGAGCCAGTCCTGCAGCTCCTGCCACGTTTGCGACCGACTAATTACATGATATCCGCCCTCCAAACTGGAATATTCAATGCTTGGCCCATCCTGAGTCCGCAGTACGAAGATGTGTGCGACTGGGCGTGAGTGTTTGTGCGGATGTACAGTGCTGACAAGCTCTTACAGCAATTGCGGTGTGAAGACTGTCATCCTGTGGATTGCACCAGCACCGATGAGGCGGAGCATCACGCACGCAGCGCCGTTCGCCTTGCAAATGGCCTTGGGGACAGGACTGAGGGCAGGGTTTCCTGGCGTACAGGGATTAGCAAAGGCAAGACGCAAACTGCCCACAGATCACGGCAGCTGGTAGCAAAGGTGGGCATACGCAGAAGCCCACAGCCGGGTGGCGCTGTCTGGGCTGTTCTACTTAAGGTTCTGCTGAAGGCGCAGGATGGTGCAGGTGTATAAGGAACTACAGTTCAGATAACGTGAAGAAAGGTAGGAAAAAAGCAGCGAAGAATGAAGCATTTAACCCTTATGCACTTGTGAACCTCTTGGGACCATTGCCCATAACCCTGATGGACCAGGGTGGAATCAGTAGTTTGCCATGGAATCAATTCAGGTTGCGATTAAGTTTGAGTTACTTGGGCGGCAAAGAGATTTCTCCCGTGCCACTTCATACCGCGAAACTGTGAGCTCGCTGCCTGTGAGAGAGTCCTGTTGGAGTGCAGCGGCGGTTTTGGTTGAGGTTGCGAGGTTGGCAAGCATGACAATGCGACAGTGTAAATCTGAGAATCGTTTTCGGTGGGGCAGTGGCTACTTTTCTTTTGGGCTGAAGTGCTCAAGACCTGGAAACAACGTAACTAGAGTCTGCCGTAGAGCCGCCGTACTGCAGCTGAGCGATCGCCCCTGGAAAATGCTCAATCCATGTGGCTGGAGCTGGCAAGTACTGGTGCTGGGGAGCCCAACAACGTCCAGATCAACGTCAAATTTGGGCGCACTCGAGACTGCATCGCTTTGATTTAGAAAATCTGGTGGAGAGGGAGAGGGATAGCAAAATGCCGTGTACTGGTTTGATTTCAGAACGTTGAAGGTCCAATGCTGTAGGGAGCCAAGCCTGCGACCCCATATCCAGCAATGCCCACAACCCAAGAAGTTTCCACCAGTGGCACCGACACAGGGATCTCAGCCGCAGAACATCAGGTCGTGCCCTTGCAGACTCTGCTGGACGCTAATTGAGTATTTTAGTAATGCTTGCTGAGACTTGCCAAACCCCACCAGATTCCAGCCAACTCGCTTCATGAGTGTGCAATGATGGGACCCCGTGTTGGAAGAAAATCTCACTTCCGAAAGTGCTTTGGAGCTGTAAACTCGTTCAGGGCCGCCCGCAGTGAAGCGCTGAACGTCCTCGCCTCGGCCGCGGGCCCTAGAACAGAGACCCTAAGTACCTCATTTTTTGTGCATTGCTGGGCGGTGCTTCGGAGATTTGGATTGCGTCGCTATTTGAGGGGAGGATCTGATTGTTTCCCAGGGTGCAGTTGCCCCTAGTTGTTTCTGCCCAGATCCATTCAAGCACAAATCAATCTTACCGGCTAGCATATGGGTTTCGGGGCCGCAGGAGATGCAAAGGTTTCTGAGCACCTCAGTATCGAAGGCGGAAACAAGTGGTGGTGTGGCGACAGGAGACTCTCAAAACAGTCTTCTCCAGAATTAGATCTTTGTCACGACCGCTCCTAGTCTTAAAGTGATCTAGAGCATTGCTGCAGGTCTTCCTTGTGCAGCCGGAGCAGTCCGAGAAGGATCCGTCACTCCGCATTCGTGTGCGACGGTATTTCTGTGCAGTTGCTTATTTTAGTACCGCGACAAGAATCTCCCAGAGTTGCCTCTGCGTGAACCTCGGGTCGGTGCGGTCCCTGTGCTTGCTATGCCGGCTGAACCCACTATTGTGGGGGTCAAGCCGCAAGCAGGCCGTCATGATTCTGCAGCAGGACCTGGGAAGTGAAAGGAGTAGTTTCATTTCGCCCCCTCATTTCCGAAGCTAGAGAGGCTACTGTCGCGATAGTCCTGTTCGGACGAAGAAGGCAAGCATCATGTTCTTGGGTGCAAGTGCGCCGCATTCCCGAACCAGCAACCCAAGTGCAGGAGCAAGCAGCCTGCATAGAGGAACGTGACGAACTCGGAGAGGCCGCGATGGGCAGATCAGAGCGTTGTCAGTTGTTGGCTTCGGGCGGAGAATCGCGAGTGTTGCGGCTTTGCCTGGCAGTTTCTCAGATCCACCAGAAGAGTGAATTCCTCATGGGCTGGGAAAGTGGAATCACCGACAAGATGGAGGGAGGGCACGGGCGAAATGGCCCAGCACAAAACACTGCTGTCGTTTCTATATAGCAGAAACCATAGCCCAAGCAAACCTCTTGAGCAGCATCGGGCAAGTGGGCAACAGCACACAGTCAAGGTTGGCCAGCGTGGTTGCAAAGATTGGAAGACACACAGCTTCTAAACTCTAGTCTAAATGGAGCAGGAAGAAACTCGAAGCTGCTCTCGTCAAGGCGATGTGCATGCTGTCCCTTGCCAACGTCTACATGGAGCCAAGAGCTTAACTTCGCACTTGCAGGCCTTGCAGCCCTGCGCTTTTACGGTTTGGGATGCCGCTCCGGGCTGCGTGTGGCTGTTCCCAACAGGATATGGCTGATATGGCTTGTCAGACTAGTCACATCCCCCCCACCTGCATATTGTTTGGTTTGAGGCTGGGCAGACCGAAATTGGCTGCAGCCCAAGTGAATGTCCATGCGGTCGCGGCTTTGATTTGTGGCTGGCTAGTTAGAGGCTGAGGTGGTCGTTTGCTGGGTCTCACTTTTCAGGTCATCTCTGCGGCAGAGGATGCACGAAGAATCTTCAAGTCCTCCAAGGATCCGTGTGGGCACCGAGCTGTTGATGGCAAGTGAATTCCGGTGCTTAGACTCTTTGTTGAGGGTGGCTTGAGTCGGCTTGAGGCCAATGTTTCATCGGTTCACGGCAAGCCGATTCTGCTTGGGTTCCGCTGCTGGCCGGTCCACTGTGACTCGAGGATCTCCAGCACAAGCACAGAGCTGGGACGGTTGCCCTCCAATCCAATCTCAAGCAACCTTCAGAGTTTTGGCTTTCAGATTCCTTGGGCCCGGCCAGTTCTTAGGGTGCCATGGAGCTCTCTGCCCTTTCACCGCTCGGATTTGCCATCCCCAATTGCAACCGCTTGGCGGAGCAGCCGCATCTGCACGTCACACATGCCCGATGTGAGCAAGCAAAAAGCCAACGTTTCTCTCCTACCCTGGTTCAATGTTACAAGAAGTAATTGTTGAAGGGTTTGGGGATTTTTGTCGGCAGGGAGCCAAGCTCAGCTTATCCACGGCCAGGTTCCAACGCGCAGTCCCTGTGCCTGGCTTCATTGGCTGCAGCAGCATGTGTGCGCGCTGCCGTAAAAAGACGAGCCTATGGTGGTGGCTATGGCGGCGGCTATAGAAACAATAATTTGGACCCAGAAGAAATCAGGCGCCGAACCGAAGAGAAGCGAGAAAGGGAGACACAACAGTTCTACATGTTCCAGAGGTCGATCATAAGCCGCGGAGGAGTCCAGCCGCAGGATGATGCACACTGGGATGCGCTGGAGAGGAGAATCTTTGGACAAAATCACGTTAAAGCTGGCATCAACTTCGCCAAGTACGACAACATTGAGGTAACTCCAGAAGGTGGGACTGGAAAAGAGCAGCCGATTTCCTCGATGCTCTGCTTCAAAGTATTATTCAAGACATGGACCCCTGTACCAGTGCGATGTCTGCTTTCCTGCCCTTGCAGGATCAGAAAACGGGATGACGTAGAAACATTACCATCCGAGTAATAACTTTTCGCGTGAAGCTTCCCAGCCACATGTTGACTCTAGGCATGGCATTTTGTGCTCGGAGCCCAGGTTCCAGGAAGCATGTGAGAAGTACCAGCTGCCCGATGAGCTGACAGCGAATCTTGAGCGATGCGGCAGCTTGAATGCTCTCAGGGGGCGCCAGACTCTAATCTGACCAAGGGCACGAAGCCGCAATCCTTGTCGATGCTTGTGCCACAGTGTAGCATTTCCATGGTGTATCGATGCAGGGCACGTTGGGATTTCAAAACCTCCCTCATCCGTGCACTAAAGACCGAGCCTGGTCGGTAAGCTTGCTGTCAGATGCTTGAATCTAGCGTCCGCAGAAGAGGAAGGCGAACTCAATAATTTATTTTCTAAACAAATTGAGGCCAGAGAGTGCAGAGAGCCTCAACTCCTGCACCGGATCAGGCTACGACACCCCGACGCCCGTTCAGAAGTACAGCATCCCTGCGGTGCTGGAAGGCCTCCTGCTAAAGCCTCGCAGAGTTTCGGTGAAGCGAGGTCGAACTTTTCGCAATCCCAGCACTCGACGGGGTTCATGTCGACCTTTCCACGACTTCCGATCCCCCAACCCATTAAACATGGGGCGCCTGAATCGGAGCTGAAGACTGACAAGATGCCCCGCTTCTCGTCTCATCACCACCGTCATCACTGAGTGCCTCTTTACGCCTAAACACTTGGGTTAGCTTCTGATGTGCAGGCAGGGCTGAGTCAATGTATGATGCTGTAGGGGTCTATGCATGCCGCAAGGTGACTGCTTACAATGCACAACTGACATACTGTAACTAACAATACAAGTGTTTCTTGTGCTTGTCTGCGGCAGCGACAGAGACGGCACACGCACTGCATCAACTGCAGAACTTTCCGGGTCGACTGAGATGAGGGCAGCTGTGCACACCGACACTGTTCACGTGTAGTGGACAGAGCACTGATGGAGCAGCACTCTCTAGTGTAACCGTAGCTTACACAGCACTGACATCGTCAAAGAACTTCTGGCCTCTCGTCGCGGCAGGCAGTGACGTGATGGCAACTCGGTCAAGCAAAGTCTGGCATCTGACTCTTCTGCACACCTTGTCGTTTATGACACCCGACCCTTGAGGGCATTAGAGGGTGCAGCTTGTAGCTTTTCTGCGTGGTGCTGCACCTGAATGTCTGATCCCGTCCGGGTGATCGCAAGGCGCAACAGGCCAGGAATAAGTCAGTCAAGACAGCCCAAAGCCGGTCCCAGATCTTGACGGTCGCTGCAGCTCTTCAGGTTGCTGCACAGACTGGCAGTGGCAAGACCGCGGCATTCTTGGCCGCTGAGCTCAGGGGCCGGGTGTTTTCTGCCGAGACTCCGAGAAGAGAGCCTGAGCCATTCCAGAAAAATCTTAGAATTACTGCAAAAATCTTGGTGCATGAGGAATGTACTCTTAAGAAGGAAGCGCATGGACAAGTGTGACTATTGGATTCCGATCCTGTTTCTTGCGCAACTGCGGCCTGTCGGCTAGAAGTACAAACGCTGCTTCTAGAAACTAGATCACTACGAGCAACCTGTTTCTGATATTTTGGGTAGTGCCTTCGACCGTGACTGCACGTGCTTGTGCCGGTCAGCATCCAGGTTGAGATTTCCCAGCTCCCAAGCCCTAGAAACGACTGCAGCAGAGATCTCACGATGCTTGGAAGTTTTTCAGGTGCCCATCATCACAGCTGCTTTACAGGCTGGACCAAAGGATCCATGGGCTTGGAAAGCCCGCGGTTTGGGAAGACTTGGTGATGGGTCCCTGAACTGTAGACATGATGTGCGAAAAGTTGTCAGGTAGAGGCATCGCTTGCCTTCGGCTTTGAGTAGACTGTTGTCTCGACTCGGTATGTATACTTTGGGTTGTGGAGGCAGGAAGTAATCCCACACACCTGGGCGGGGAGTATGATTCATGGGCGACATTGGGCCAGGTAGTACCAGGTATAAGCCCTAAACCCTAAACCCCCCTAAACCCAAACCCTAAACCCCAAGATGACAAAGCACGTGAACTTTCCACGTCCCCCCCCCATCCGGCTGCACCCTTGGGGCTTCAAGGAACTCCCGCATCCATAGAGGTTTCTGAGGGGTGTTGTCGCCATTTCTGCTGTACCAGTAGGAGGATTTAGTCTAGGCTAGGACATTTTCAAGTTGGTAGTTACCGTTATAAGAGCCTTATAGAATCGTCGATATACCTTAAAGAAGCCTTATAGAAGCCCCATATACCCTAAACTCCCCACCTGTGGTTTCCTTAAATTTAGGGCTTGGGCTTAGTGAGCCTGTGCTGGAACCTCGTAGCTCCATTGTGTATAATGCGGGCAGTGCTATCGGGCCGGTCCCGGCCATGAACATTCCAGGAGCTCACGGAAGAGGGCGCCGTTTGCCCCACAAGCGTGATTCTGGCACCAACCCGCGACCCGGCAGATGCAAGAGCTGGTGAATCGGCACGATTCCTTCTGAAGTATCGGGCCTCTTGTATGCTGAGCCAGCGAGAACCAAGCGTCGAGCAATTGACGAAGAGCCAACTTGCTGCATTTCTGCTAACGCACATCAAGAGCGATGCAGTAGCATCAGCAGCAGAAATCTGTTTCTCGCGGTGCTTTGTTGTGGCCGAAGTGGTAATTCTAGTCGCAATTGCCGCAGCAGTAGCACTAGCATCCGTAGTGCAAGGTAGTTGGTAGTTGTCGTCGTCGTCGCCTCCGTCATCGCAATCGTAGTCGTCGTCGTCGTCGTAGTAGCAGTAGCAGCAGCAGCAGCAGCAGTAGCAGTAGCAGTAGTGATAGCAGCAGCAGCAGCAGCAGCAGCAGCAGCAGCAGCTGTTGGTGTTGTTGGTGTTGTTGTTGTTGTTGTTGGCAGCACGTGCGTCTGCCACCGCGCGGGGTGTGTCGATTTCCTGG